AATTAAAATGCACATGTAGCAACTCCCCACCATGAGTGTACTCGTGTACTGTAAACTTGTACTCTTGCTACTACTGCTAATAAAAATATGCTTTTTATAATCATGTAGCATTCATTCACTTAAAAATATATGACTCACAAACAAATTCATTTTGCTCCTATGAAATGTTCATGTGTTGAATTTTATATCCATTCTTATTAAATTTAATTCACTAAAGTAATACAAATTATTATGTTGAGTGAGGGTATCTGTTTAGCTGTTTAAAATGTGTTTTTATTCATAAGAATTGGTTTGTTTGCAATTTTTAGCTAATGCTGCGGCAATTTTATGTTATCCGTGCTAATTGATTATATCTTAACACCTGAGTTAGCAATGAATCAATACATAATAGACTGGTTAGCATAGAGTTGTTCAGCTAAATCATTACTGAAATGAGTCTAAAAAGATCTATATTTGGTCTTGTATATTATATCTATTTTATGAAGAGAGAGTCTTGTTTATAATTAGTGTTCATCATAGAATCCACATTTTTTGTCATAGAAATTCAGTGGAGTATTTTTGGTGAATCTCAAATGGGCTGTGTTAGCCCTCAGTACTCCACATTTATTTTAGTGGGGTAAATAAGGGTGTCAGAAAACAGCAATGGTGAAAAATTATAAAGAAATTAATAATCCATCAGTGAAGGACCTGTTAATCTGTTCTGCTACATAAAGAACAGGCTGCAGACACACAGTAGGCAGAAGGATGGCCTGAGATAGAGGCTGTTGTCACAAGCACATGGCACACTCTCAGTGTACAAGCTGTCAGAAGATAATAACAACCCACTGAATCTGGCTTGCTCGGAGACCTCTGACCTTCATTGGAAAGATAAAAACTACAACAAACCACATGCAGCGAGGCATGTATTTTAATTGGCAGTTTTAGCTTTCCACTTTGTGAGGGTAAGATATATTTGTCCTGGAGATAACTGATCATAAACCGTCACAGGGGTTATGCTGGTAGCATATCTATATCTTTTGGAATATTCTTAAAGAGAACTAATGAATGCAAACAGCAATATTTCTGACTATAAATTGCGAGCTTTTATGGAGAAAGGAAATCAGAATCTATATCTATCTCCATTCAAATGTATAATTAATTTTCTATAAGTTACAGTTCATAAGATCATTTATGAGCTAGTTAAAATTTAAAAGGGGATAGTTTTTCTTCAGGCAATAAAACTCTAGTGTTGACTGGGAAAGTTTGTGTGTGTGTGTGTGTGTGTGTGTATGTGTGTGTACCTTGCAAGAGGTATGTGTGTGTATGTGTGTATACCTTGCAAGAGAAGGAGTTCATGAGCATAAGTGTAAAGAAGGCAAGGCTTTGAACTTGTCCAGACTGATGTTCAGCTGTACAGTCAGGAATAAGCTTCAGAGACTCTCACCAACCTCTTTACCTATTTCCAGGTCTAGAGTCATTTAACTGAAAGCATGGTAGAGAGAGCAAAAATGGACTGAAAACCTCTGTTTATCCTAATAGGCCAGATCAGTATTTTGCAGATGTTGGATTTCCAAATTAACAATCCTGTTGAAGGCATCTAGATAGCAGCGCTATTAGATGACATGATTTAGAATTTGATTTGCTTCTTAGGTTAAGACAAACGAGTCTCATTTGCAGTGTAAAATAGCCAGCATCATGAAAATAATGCCTTCCATTTTGCTTTCTCACCCAAGGGCATTTTACAGAATTAGAAGTCAAGGTTACTGTAACAGTCCTCAGCGTGCACAAAACTACAGCCGCAGACCACATTTTGAAGCCTGTGTTTTTCCCTTGTTAGGTCATGGCAAGCAGCATCCATGCTAGTGGAGGTATTTGTGGTTTTGTATTGTGTTGGGAGAAATAGAATCCCCTGATATTACAGCTGCACTTTTGATTTGTCATTTATTTGGAATAAATAGAGGGTGGTATGCCAGTTGCTATGGAAACCAGCTCTTCTCGAAGCAGTGCAAGACCTTTAAGCACGTTGGAAATTGCTTCCTTCTCATTATGTTTCTGCACTGGAGAAGGTGTAGTGTGCAATTAAATAGAAATGAAGGTTTAATTAAAAAATTAAATTACGTTTTCTGGATTGTCCTTTGTGTAAAATATGCTTAAGAGGGTGAGCATTGCTGCATGCAAGGCTGGCTGCATGTGTGTTTTGGAAAGAAGAGGATCATAACCCTACTGCTGTATGTGTGTGTGTGTGTGCATGCAAGAAAGAGTTATAATGATCTCTTTCATACCTATTTGTAACAGCAATGTCAATTTTACCTAGAACATTCTGGGAACATTGTTAAACATATGCATGGCTATCAAAACAAAAAATAAAGTATAGTATTTTAAATTTATTTATAGGATATAAATTGATATCAATAGAGTTAGCTATTATACTGAGGCAAGAAGATAAGTCTTGAGAAATATTGAAGAGATGATGTCTTAAGTTACATTAGTGAACATATGAGATTGATATATAGGGAAGAACTGCAAAAATGGGAATTAAAAATGAGAATATATGTATTTGAAGTAGTCAAATAACAAAGTCAAGAAGCAAGTGATATAAAAATAAGAAAGTGTAGTTTATTTAAAAGAAGTGCTATTTATTAGTTTCTAGCATGATATAATATTTATTTACTTTTATGTATTGGTTATATAAGCAACCACAGAAATACAATTATTCAGAAGGAATCCAAGGGTTACTTTGGTTATAGCCATACATTAAAACCTTGCCCTTCTACGGGGCTTTACAATATGTAAAGGCTCACCAGATACAGTCATTTTATATGCTCTCTGAACAGTTCTGATGCAATCAGTGAGAAGTAGCTATTATCCCCATTTTATATATAAGTTACTTGTGTATAGTCACCTAGTAGTATATGGAAATATATGAGGAAATCAATGGCTCCTGACTTCTAATTCCATGTCTTTCCATTGCTAAGATAAATTTGCAAAATGAATCCTGTTTTCTTTTGACTAGTGAGGAAGTTATCACATTTAGAAATGTGATTAATCTGCTCTTCAGAGTAACAGAAAGCCTGCAATGAAATGTGCTTTAAAGTTAAGATTTCTTGTCAAATACGCAATATATTAACTGTTGTTAGTCTCCTATTGCCTTGTTTTTAAATTCTGTATCATTGCCTATTGTTATTCTCTCTTTAAAATAAAAAAATTAGGATTTTTAATTTTTCTAATTATCCTATTGTACCTATTTATTTCAGATGCATCTGAACAGAGTTTTCTGGCTCATTGACTGATTCAAACATATTTGCCTTGATTTGATTTATATGTAAATCAAAACATCCAGCAACTGTGAAAAACAGAATTGCTATTTCTGTGGGTATGATGTGTCCACTTAACTAGGTGCTATTTATGTTCAGTAGTAGTGCTCTGTTCAATCAACTGCTAACTGTCAAGGAGCCTTGTGGCAATGGAGCCTCATGCTATAAAAAGGTTGTATGGAGAACTGAAAAAAGATTGCTCTGTGAGGACAGGAGCCCCGTTGGTAGGGAACAGCTGCTGGCCCAGCAGTCCTGGGACTTCCATGAGGCTGCTGTGAATATGTTCACAGCATGCCGAGGCTGACTGCATGCTGCTAAAGTGCTGCGTGTCCAAATCTCAGTTTGCTGCGGGGTGCTGGCTTCATCCTGCATAATACAGAGATGCTCTTAAAGAAGGTACTTTAGTATCTGTCAAATAAAAATTATGCCTTCAATGTGTAATCAATGGCTTCATCATATCCTCCACAAAAATTAGCTCTGTGTAAATATTATGTGAGTTCCTTTGCTTCCTGGATTGTCAAGTGGGAAGGATCTCCTTTATCAAAAATCATTGGTTGAGTAGCTGTATTTCCAAAGGTAAAAAAAATTAAGTTATTTTAAGAGATACTGTCTACTGTAAAGTTCTAATAGGCTCTAAGCTCCTGACTGAGATGAATTTTGCAAGATGTCAATAAACTGGAAGATGTAGGAGTCTAGACTTACTATTATTGTTATTATCATTAAAATTATCCTATAAAGCGCACAAGTTATGCATTCAGCTCAGTGAATTGAAGAATGATCAACCTGTGTATCTGATCCCATGAACACATAGTGCGCCATTATTTTGGATACTCTGCTTAAACCCTTTACTGTTACTATCCATAAGAGGAACAGAATGTGCCATTGGGTTCCTTATTTATTTTTCTTATTTTTTTAGAACCACTAAAAGTATTTGGTGGTATTTGTTTCTTTACAGCAAAGATTTGATTTCTCAAATCTTGAATTTTATATAAATGGAGTTATAGAGTATATATTATGTGTGCTTGGTTTCTATCATTCACGATTTCATGTTTTTGCAATTGTTTTTCATTTCTATTACTGTATACCATGCAATGATGTGAGCATACTCCAGTTTATTAAATCCTTTTCTCCTGGATGTCCATTGGTGTGTTTCCAGTTTGGGACAGCTGTGGAACTTCTAATACATTTCTTTTGTGGCATATCTATGATTTTGGACTAGTTACCAACCAGTAGAGGCATGAGGTTCACATACTTAGCTTTAGTGAATAGTACAGAAATACTTCCAAAGTAGTGGAAAAGATTTAAACTTCTAGTAGCAATGAACAAGAATTATAGTTTCTCAGAGGTAGAGGTGCATTAACTCAATGGTAGAACATTAACTCAATGGTAAGGGTAGAGGTGCATTAACTCAATGGTACAGCATGCTCAGGGCCTTGGGTTAATCCCCAGCACACCAAAAAATAAAAATAAAAAGATTATAATTGTTCCTTTTTTGTCTGTACTTTAATTTTAGCCAATTGAGTGACTGTAGAGTATATTATCGTCTGCCTTCAATTTTCATTTCAATGATTACCAGTGCAATCAAGAAAATCTCTATTTGACAATTCAGAGTTGTATGTTTTGAAATGTCTGTTTAATTTCTGCCAATAGTTCTATTGATTTGCTTTCCTCTATCTTGCTACTTTCTAGGTCATTTTATTTGTTCTAATACAATGTACTGCTCAGTTTCTCTGGAGGAGCAGAATCGACAGAAAGGAAATGTACAATTAAGCAAGGGGATTTATTAGGTATCTTACAGACTCAGAAGTGGGAGAATTCACAACTTTCTTCTGCATGGCAAAGAGCCAGAGGACCTGCTCAGGGCTGCGTAGTCCAAGAAGATGAAAGCCAAGGGACCATGAATGGAGCCCAGTTCAAGGTGACAGGCCTGGGAGCTCCCTGGAGAGTCCCTGGTAGGAGTCTGCACTGCAAGGCTGAAAAACCAGAGCCTGACCTCAAGAGCAAGGACAGCAAAAGATGCACCTGCTCAAGGGCGCTGCAGCTCTTGCAAACCGGGCACCAGCTTCATTCCATATTTATTCCAGTCTGTCGGATGCTGCCCCCACACCCGGGATAGGTCTTCCCCTGTGCGTTTGCTGGCCTACGTGCTAATCATCCCTGAAAACACTTTACAAACACACCCAGCCTTGAGCTTTATCCATCTGGTAGGTGTTTCCTAATCCAGTCAAACTGACATCACATGATTAGTGGTTACATATTTGTTTTATTAATATTTTTAATGAAAGTATGCTTCTATTACTCCTATAATAGGCTCTTTTCACTTGTGCCTAAAATTTTAAATTTTCTCTTCTATGAGAAATCTTTACAAGAGCTTAAGAAAATTTTCCTGATGTTTGAGTAAGAGTTATTGTGTTAACTTTCCATTATTTAGTTATAAAAATTGATTTATGTCAAGTGATTTTGATTAGAAAAAAAAATTAAAGAAGATTCCTTGTTTTACCAGGATAAACACTTGATCCAGAACCTTATTTAGTTGTAAAAATCATTGGTTTATGTTAAGTGATTTTGACTAGAAAAAGAAAAACTACAGAAGATTGCTTGTTTTACAAGAATAAACACTTGATCCAGAACCTTATTTATTTGTAAAAAACGTTGGTTTATGTTAAGTGATTTTGACTGGATAAAGGAAAAATGCAGAAGATCCCTTGTTTTACAAGGACAAAGACTTGGTCCGGAACCTTCTATTGAGCAATTAATCTTTGCATTTCAATGTCGTTTTTGTTAAAAATGGAGCAATCATGCATGGGTGGGTTTGTTTCTGTATTCCCTTTGTGTGTGTGTGATATTGGGGAGTTGAACACAGGGTCTTCACACTAAGCTACATCTCTGGTACCTGTTAATTTTTTATTTTGAGACAATGTTTTTCTAAGCCTTCTAAGTATCTCAAACTGGGATCAATCTTGCCATCGACCTGCCTCAGCCTTCCAAAGTGCTGTGATTACAAGCAAGAGGCATCACGCCTAGATGTTTCTACACTCTTTGTGTATTAGTTTCCTAATTCTATCCTTACTTTAACCCTTTAAGTCTATTATGAGCCTTTCTAAATAGTAAAGTAAGTTTTCTAAGTTTACATTCTTTTTAAAACATTTTTGAGATGATTTTGGCTGTTTTATATTTTCAGACAAAATTTGAGTTCTAATTTCCAGTTTCTCCAAAGCAACCTGCTGGTGTATTTATGTGAGTTGCTTTGATTATTAAGATCTAATTTGGAAGATTAATATATTTATAATCCATGAGAATTTTGCATTCATCATTTATTTAAATGGTGGTGCCTCAGATCAAAGAGGAGGTGATAATTTTTTAAATAAATGATTCAGGATCCATTTTATATATATAAATATATAAAAACATATATATAAACATATATATATATATAAATATAGATATAGATAGATACAAATTAACTTTGGCTTTGACTTTACACTGCAGATTAAAACCTGCATTACAGATCTGAATGTTCAAGGTAAAAAATTATATTACTATAAAACAATACTTTGAATTCTATTTATGAACTTGAGATTGAAAAGGCCTAATGTAAAAATGTTTCTTAAAATTTGATACTGAATGCATTTAACAAAAAGGAAAAGAAGATGGCCATAGGTCCTTTATACTTTAAGTTTTTTGTTTATTCAAACAGTAGCATTTGTTTATCTCCCACTGCCCACCATCAGAAGACACTATCTGCCTGTGTATAATTAGCTCAGAAAAAAATCAAAGATTCAAAATTTGAAGTATAATTTCTACTAATACACATCTCTTTTGTACCATCTTAAAGTGAAAAAAATTGTTCAATTGAACCTTTGCAAGTAAGGGGTTGTCACAGCAATGCTGGGTGTGTGGGAATTAGGAGAAACTACTTGAAAATATGTTACGTCTAAAGGAGTCTTTTCTAAAATATATGAAAAATTCCAAGTATTTTACATTACTGCTCAAAATCTTTCATACATCTTACAAAAAATAGAATATCAAATACATGAAAAATTCTCATCTGCAAAAATTAAGATTAAGCAATAAATGGCATTCTTTTATCATAATCATAAATTGAAAGAATGTTGATATTAAGCATTGGCAAAATATGGGGTGACAGGAGCTCTCCTACATGAACATATTCATGGGAATTTATTTACTTTGGTAAAGTTGCATAGGGACACTGTTTGGCATTCCCTCCTAGAGCTGAATAATACACAAAATCCCTAAAGACTAACAATCCCATTCATATGTATTTATCTAATAGACATGGCTATGTATGTGTATATACAATTATATATTTCAGTAGAGTTTAAACACTAGCTTATTTGGTTAGTTCTATGACAGAAAATACTTTTATTGACATAATATTTGTGTATATTTTTGAAGTGTAATATGAAATTCTGCATATGTGTGCAACGTGATGATGATCAAATCAGGGTAATCAGCATTGGTAGCTCCTGAAACCTTAACCATTTCCATGTGCTGAGAAATTTTGGATTCTTCTTTTGTAGTTATTTTGCGATGTAGTGCAGATTACAGTATACTCTAGTTACTACTCTGGGCTGTAGAGACCCGGATCTAATTGTTCCTGCCTAAGTGCCTTTGGGTACCTGTATCCAAACTCTTTGAACTTGTTTTCTTTGCTCTTGAGTTTCCAATTACTTCTATTTTACTCTGTTCTATTTTTTAGACAGATTTTCTTAGCTCCTAAATTTTAAATTATTTTATGACATTTAAAATATTATATTCATCTTCCTAGCTCAACCTTTTCTTCTTCCTGAGTAAAGGAAAAAGAAAAGCCTCTTGGTGAGTTTTATTGCAATGTTTTGTTGTATGATCTTAATGACCCTCAGCATAGAACTCAAAGCTGTTTAAAGAATTCAACTTTTAAAAATTGTTGCATCTTCAATGATAGCTAAGGGAATTGGTGTAGTCACACTTTAGAAACAGATAAACACCTTGCATCAAAATACTTGCTACCACATACAAATATTAGCATTGGACAAGATAGCTATATGAGTGAATTATATATTAAAAAGTGGACACTACCATGCAATTATACACACACACACAGAGATATATATATCTCATCCTCAGTGAATACAAAAAGTCATTTATCTAAAATTAAAATTAAAATTTAGCTAAAATAGATTTGAAATAGTTATATGTTTTGGATCCACAATAGGAGTTCATCAGTCTATTAAACAATTTGCAACATTTACTTCCCTTAAGCATAAAGTGTTTTCCAAAAGAATTATCACTTGGAATTTAGACATTTACAATGCTAACCTACTGTTGGGAATGGAATAAACTATTATCTGTCCAAATAAGCCAACACAACTGCTAAGCACAATAACGAATGACACTGTTCCACTGAACTGGATTAAATACTTTTCCTGTATACTAAAAATTCCAAATAGAAAGTGTACAAATTAAATTGTTTAAATGATGAAGGTTGGAGCTGGGGATGTGGCTCAGGGGTAGAGTTCTTGTCATGCATGCACAAGTCCCTGGGTTTGATCCTCAGTGCCACACATGCACACACACACACACACACACAAATTTTATGAAAGTGAATACAATTTAAGAAAGCAAAGGAACGTTGAGTTGCTCTGCCTTAATTAATTTCTATAAAATAACTGATTTTAATCTGACACTGTCCTTAGTGAAGTTGATTTTATATGTTCAAAGTGCTTTTTCATTTTCCCAAATATGTTTCATTTATTTCTCTAAAATGATCAATTGAGGATTCCAGATGGACTGCAAGAATTTATTTGATCATTCTGGGTGACTAACGTTTAAAACTACTCAGTATTATTTTGTCCTTTTATGTAGCATAATAAGGAAAGACAGTCGCATTTTGACTCAATAGCTGAATGACTAACAAAGGATTGGCTTATTCATTAAAATAATTTTTACAAGTTATCCTGCCATTGGTAGCCTAAATCATCTTTTAAAATAGGTCAATCTCTTACCTTTCAATAGTTTCTCTTAAAATAGGGAAGTATTAGTAGCTACCTGCCTTAGTTACTTTTCTCTTGTTGCTGAGACAAAATACTTGACATCTAGGAATAAAGGGACAAAAGGTTTATTTAGCTCACAGTTTGTGGAGGTTTCAGTCCCTACTCAGCTGGCTCCAAGGCAGGGTGACACATGGCAGAGGGCAATAGTTCATGGGGGAGGAAGACAGCAAAAGCAACAAGATTGAAAAGGAAAGAATGGCATCAAGCAGCCTCTTTCCCCCGCTTATATTGTATGCAAAGTACCCACCCCAGGGCGGGTGTAGCACTCACATCCATAATCCCAACATTGGACCATGAATCAATCATAAACCCAAGATTCCCGCCCCATGACTATATGAGGCTTTGCGGGACATCCAGACACAAAATATAACACAGCCATTACTGCATGAATAACTATCCAACATGTATTTCATTTTAAAAAAAGAATAATTTTGTTTAAGACCTGCTTCTTTTACACATATCCTATAAATTTCATCGTAATAATAATAAATATAAATAAATACTATGTTGTGGCTCTCTTACATGTGCAAGATCTATTTTATGTACCTAAAGAGTAGTTAATCTTTAAAAAGTTCCATGCAACCCAATTATTATCACTAATTTAAAGACAAGAGGAAGCAACCTGGCCAGGTTTCACAGGCCTGGGTAACAAAGCTGGAAATCTAACCCAGCCAGAGACAGAATTAACTAGTAATTACCCCCTAACTTTTAAAGATTCATCTTAAATTTGTAAGCCAAATATAGTAAGGATTTTTCAAGAATTGTAATTTAAAATATTTTCAGGTATTAAGGACATGAGGTAGCACTGGAAATTTTTAGAAGTATGAAGTTTTTCCAGACTGAGGTAGCTCAATCAGTTGGATTAGGAAGGATAGTTTGAAAAAGAAATTAATTCCAAGATTAGAATTCTTTCTCTCTCCCACTGGATGTGAAAAGAACCCATGCTGTTCTAGGAGCTATGTCATTTACATTATAGAAAAAAAGCACACCAGGCTCAACATAACAGCTAAGTACAGAGAACTATAGAAGTCCAGAAAGATGTCATAATTATAGGAATATTTTGTGCAATAAATAGAGTTTGAGTGCATAGAATATTGTACAATGAAGTCAATCAATAGTAAAACAAAACATTCAATAAGAAGTTTTTCCAAAGATAATGAAAACTGAGATAATGAAATTATATATTTAATATGAATGTGCATGCTCTCACTGTACATGGACCTAGACTCATACACCTCTAGACACATTCACAGGTTCATTTACACACACGTATATCTAGCTATTCTATATTTATTCACACAGCACTATCGTGTTCATGCTATACTTTTACCACCTAATAACATAATGTGTACATAATGTGTAATTACAATAATATAATTATACATTCATATATATTAATCTACATGTAATATACTGGTTATAAATAAAATAGATACATAATAAACACTTTTACCAAGCACTCTTTGGAAGAACTGTATTTTTATTTTTTTATTAGATATGTTTGCAGTACCCTCTAATTACATTCATCAAGGAGAGCTGGTACATGCACACAAATATTTTTAAGGGCCACTTCTTTCAGTGTAACAATGAGGGTTTATTTAATTCGGCTCCAGTTTTTACTTATTCACCAGAAAAGTATACACATTGTAGGAAAAGAAAAATAATGTCGTGTTTTTTCCAACAGATAGTGTAACCCTTGTACGAGGGATCCTAGAGGATGTTGTATATCGCAGAAAATCCACTACATTGTCGGCTTTTACAGAAGAAATGGGAGATACACATGCAGCAATCTCAATGACCAAGGTTACTCAAGCAGAAGTTTTCCATACTAATAAATGTCAGGAAGCAAATGATTACCACTTCGAGCACCTCTTACAATTGTAGAGGCCAAAGGTAACTCATTAATCTTATGCTGTCTAAATAAATTTAGTATTAAAATATTCAAGTTTTTCTTTTCCTGAAGTGTGTATACATTTTTGGTAGATTTTGTATAATGATGGACTGACAATAAGTGCATATAGTTCCTTTCTACTTTAAGCATTTAAGATTATTTCCTAAGAAGTAGAAACTGAGCCAGGTGTGGCTGTGAATGCCTATAACCCCAGCACTAGGGAGGCTGCAGCAGAAGGATCGCCATAAATTTGAGGACAGCCTGGACTGCATAGTGAGTTCAAGGCCCAGCCTGGACTGCATAGTGAGTTCAAGGCCAGCCTGAACTACATAGTGAGACAGTTTTTTAAAAAAGTAGAAGTACAATTTCTGGAATAAGAATTATGTACATTGTAAGAATATTAATATCAAATATCTTTATAAAATGTGTGAGATAGTATATAATCTCATCTCTATCCAGTACTTAATAGTTTTTCTTTCTCATTGGAATAAAAAATGCACACAGAATGAAAAGCACACATATTAGTTGTGTGACTTAATGAATTTGGGTAAATGTGCATGTCCTGACAACACTGGTTCAATTAAGTTTCAGAAATATGCTTCATCCCCAAGAACTCTTCACATACCCTTCCATCAGTCACCACTCACAATTGGCCAGCACTGTTCTGATTTGTATCACCATAGAATATTTCTTTTGTTTCACTTTGGATACAATGAACCACATATTTTTCTTTTTTTACTCACTATAATGTCCTTGAGATTCTTACTACTGTTTCTGTCTAACCAAGTTATTCTTGTTTATTGATGAAAAGTAGTTTATCATATGAAAATAATTCAAATGATCTAGTTTTCTGGTAATGGAAATTGAGACTTTTCAAATAGGAGTTAGT